GGGTGAGGTGAGGAGATGAGATGAGGAGGAGGAGGGGAGGATGCTCAGGTGAGAATGCTGAGATGAGATGGACGTTGGGCTGAGAAGGATGTCCAGGTGAGATGAGGATGATGAGGTGAGGAGGATGATCCCTAATAAAAGGATGCTGATATGAGGATGCTGTCATGAGAAGAATGCCGGAGAGAATGATATCGCTGAGATAAAGGTGCTAATATGAGGATCAGGATGCTGTGAAGAGAAGCATATTAGGAGGAGGAATTTCACTGAGATGAAGAGGACAACTGAATGAAATGTTTATCGACATGAAGGCGCAAGGACAAGGACGCTGAAGTGAGGATGGCGTTCAGATGAGATTGCTGAGATGAGGATGTCAGTTAGGACGAGGATCTAACTGAGATGTCATCGCCGGAGGGGTTATCATTTTCGTTATTTCGAATGTGGCAAAAGGGTGATTGTTACTGGTCGTGCAAAATTGACCACAACAGTTATTGCAAGTGAATGTTTGTCATTGATATCAGTATCGTTGTTACTAATCTCGGATGGAGTTTGCCATTATTAAAATATATACTAGTACGTTCTCAACATAACTGTTTATTGATAGCTGCATTAACTGCAATGCATTTATACCCCGATACAAACCATATCCAAAACCATTACAAAAAAGGTTAACCATCGCCCTAAGAAGAGAATAGAAAATTGACCCGTTGAAATAATGCCATTAATCCTTCCAACAAATGTAACACAAACTATATTCAAAATAATTCAAAAAATAAATAACCCATCTCCCTAGGAACGTAAAAAAAAACTTCTTAAATTAATATCCATTATTCCTACGAGGTCAAGGGTCACGCGGCAACTGACCTGAGTCTCTCGACAGTGCTCTCCGATGATGACCCGCGCGAAGGGGTCAGAGAGACCTGAATTGTCGGAGGCGATGAGTGACCTGGCCTGGTACATGTGCGCGCGCAGCTGGAAGATCTGGCAGAGAGAGAGAAAAAAAATAATTTAATTTTATTTTTTTCTTCGTGTGTGTATATCTCTCTGATGGAATAATATATGTTTATGATAAGTAAAAGGGTGTTTATTCTTTAATCTGTGAGAGAAAGAAAATAAGGACTTATCTCTAACTCTTTTTTTATACTGTATATATATCTATCTTTCTGCGTATTTGTTTCAGTTGGAATAATGTCTGACTATCATAGTTATACATATTTTTTTCTTTTTTAATATTCATCATGTATGCGCGCAGTTGGCAGATCAGTGAGAGAGAAAACTGACATATCTCTACTTCAGTTGGAATAATGTCTGGCTATCATAGTTATACATATTTTTTTCTTTTTTAATATTCATCATGTATGCGCGCAGTTGGCAGATCAGTGAGAGAGAAAACTGACATATCTCTAACTCTTTTTTTTCCTGTGTATTTGTTTCAGACGGATTAATATATGTATGTTTATGTTAGTACAAGTGTTTTATTATTATTTAATTAAGATTTAACATGTGCGCAGTTGGATGATCTGTGAGAGAAAAAAATAAAATAATGGCATATCCTTAACTATTATTTTTCGTGTATTTATATCTTTCTTTGTGCTTGTTTGAGTTGGAAGTCTGTTTGTCATATTCTTTTTTCTTTTCTTTTTTTAAAGATGTAACATGTGTACACACAACTGGAAGGCCTGCGACAAAAAAATAAGGAATAATTAAATATCTTTCATACTTTTTCCTGCGTGTATCTTCTTGTGTGTTTGCTTCATCGGAATTACATCTGTTTATTACAGTATAAATGTTTTGCCTTTTATTCCATACACATATTTGTTGCGCTGGATAATCCTCACAGTACAAATGCCATTTAATCATTCTGACTGTATATAGCAAATAGCATTTCCATAAATACAAGATATGCATTGCAGTAATTGCATAATCCATTTTGATTGATTGCATCCACATTATAAAAATCACAACAGGCATTTTATCTCCTAGCATACTGCAAATGCTACGCCAACTTACTCAACTTACTCGTCCCATCACGCAGATAATAGAGATCTTACTCATCATTGCACTCAGGTTCTTGCAATCTTATTCATCTTCTCATTAATATTTTATGTCTTACTTTTCATCTTACTCATGTGCCGAGAAACTTACCCATCACCTTACTCACGTACTTGCAGTCTTACTCATCTTATTTAGGTTCTACAAATATTACTCGCCATTTAATAGGGCTTTATATATATCTTATTCAGGTCCTATAATTCTTACTCAGCTTCTACAAATCTTACTCTACAAATCCTACTCACTCACCCCCCCCCTCATCTTCTGACACAGCTTCTCCCAACCTCTCCCTCACCTCCCTCAGCATCTACCCTCCCTCCCCCTCCCCCTCCCCCTTTCACCTGTTTCTGCGTGTAGTGCAGCGTGATGGGCGGCAGCGTCATGGTCCTCTCGATGTTGCGCAGCTCGTACGGCGTCTCGTAGCCCTTGGGAATGCCGGGAAGGAAGTGCTTCTTGTGCTTCATCATGCCCAGCCACAGGTAGATCTGCAGCTTGGCTTGGATGGCCCAGCCGCCCGGCCCGCTCGACTTGCGTCCGGGCAGCTGCGGGCGGAGCGGGTAGTGGGGTTTAAGTGGGTGGGCTTGGAGACACGCACATGTATGTATATCTATTCATATATGTACAAACGCAGATAAATATATTCATATATACATGTATATACACACGCAAACTTGCATACAAGAGAAAGAGCGAGAGAGAGAGAGAGAGACTGAGAGAGAGAGAGAGAGAGAGAGAGAGAGAGAGAGAGAGAGAGAGAGAGAGAGAGAGAGAGAGAGAGAGAGAGAGAGAGAGAGAGTAAGAGGGAGTAAAAGAGAGAGAGAGACTGAGAGAGAGAGAGAGAGAGACTGAGAGAGAGAGAGACTGAGAAAGAGTGAGAGAGAGAGAGAGAGAGAGAGAGAGAGAGAGAGAGAGAGAGAGAGAGAGAGAGAGAGAGAGAGAGAGAGAGAGAGAGAGACTGAGAGAGAGAGAGAGAGAGACTGAGAGAGAGAGAGAGAGAGAGAGAGAGAGAGAGAGAGAGAGAGAGAGAGAGAGAGAGAGAGAGAGAGAGAGAGAGAGAGACTGAGAGAGAGAGAGAGAGAGAGAGAGAGAGAGAGAGAGAGAGAGAGAGAGATAGAGAGATAGAGAGTAAGTGAGTAAGAGAGAGTAAGAGAAAGAGAAAGAGGAAAAGAAAGAGAAAGAGGAAAAGAAAGATAAAGATAAAATGAAAGAAACCCAACCACCCCTAAAAAAAACAATCAATCCCCACCAGAATTCCCTCTCCCCTCCCCCTCCCCTTCCCCCCTCCCCCCATCATCCCCACCGACCTTGAGGAACAGCGTCTGGGTGACCCCGCAGGACTTCCCTCTCTCCAGGTCCACGGGCGAGTAGATGAGGTGCCTGGTGGGGATGCGCTGGTAAGCCACCCGCTTCCCGCCGCTGATCATCCACAGGAACACGTCGGGGAGGCTGTGCTGGGGCTGGGAGGTCGTCATGGCAACGGAGGGGGTGAGAGGGAAGCGGGGAGGGGAAGGGAGGGAAGGGAAGGGAAGGGAAAGGGGAGGGAAAGGGGGAGAGGGGGAGGAAGGAAGAGATGTTTTGTTATTAGTCATCATTATTATTATCATTATTATCATTTATATATTTAGAAAAAAAGGAAAAGACAAAAAAAAAACAAAAAAACACACACACACAATAGAACACAATATAGGAAGAAGGAAAGAGAAGAAAATAAAAAAAAATCAAATATACACCACTAAAAGAAGAAAAATATGCACAGTATGAGCGAAAATGGCGAAAAAATTAAAAGATGAAGATAAAAAATCAACACCCCAAAAGAAGAGGAAGAAGAAAAATAAACATAATCTAAAAAAAAACTTACATTATCAGTAAACGCTCTAAACTTGACAAACAAAACACAACGAAAAACCTCATAACTCCCCCCCCCCCCCCAAAAAAAAAAAAATCAGACAAACAAACAAAACAAAAAAATCTTCACCCCCCCCAAAAAAAAGGACAAAAAGCAAAAATAGATATACAAGCCCGACCTCCGACCGCCGAACTTACATCCTCAATCAGTCCCCTGAGCTTGGCGAGATACGTGTGCGCCGTCTTGTAGCGGTCTCGGAGGCTGTGTCTCGTCACCAGCGCCTTCGTGTGCCGGGCTGCGCTGCCGAGGTGGTCCTGGGGGGGGAGGGGAGGGGAAGGGGGGGTCAGTGGGGGATGGTAGTGGGGGTAAGGAGGAGAGGGAGAGGTCTGTGTGTATGTGTGGGTGTGTGTGTGTGTGTGTGTGTGTGTGTGTGTGTGTGTGTGTGTGTGTGTGTGTGTGTGTGTGTGTGTGTGTGTGTGTGTGTGTGTGTTCTTGTGTATGTTTATTTTGTCTTTTTTACTATTTCTTTGTCCTTTTCCCTCTCCGTCTCTTTTTTTCTCTAATATTATCTCTCTCACTCCCCTTCTCCTTCTTCTCTCCTTCCTATTCCTCTCCCACTTCCTCTCCTCCTTCTCCTCTTTCTTCTCCTTCTTCCACTCCTACTCTTTCTTTCTCTTGCTCCTACTCCCCCTCCTCTTCCCTCTCCACCCCCTCCCCCTCACCCTCCCCTTCTCCCCAACCCAGATTACACCATAGAGATCTGCCTCTCCACACGCCATCTAAACGACTATTTCAGCAAATTAGACCATTAGGCATACTTTCCTTACATAATCACACCATTAGACGCAACGGATTTCTTTATTTTTTTATTTGTTTAAAATCCCTCACTTGCGAGTAACCCTTTTGGCAAAATTCACCCCGAAAGACCACAGTCTTTGACGGTTGTTGCCATAAATATCTCAGCCATTGAACAGCCATTCTTCTTGTTGCACAAAAGACTAATGTTGCTGGAATTTCGATACATTTTCAGTATCTTTTTAAAATTAATTACATCAATATGATACATTATTGATGTAATTAACAATCGTTGTACTCTCTTTCTCTTTTTATGTCTGATTGTTTTTTTTCTTTATAATAACATAATACTTAACTGATGAAATTAATAACAATCGCTATACTCTCTTTCTCTATCTGTGTCTATCTGACAGTCTCTCTCCCTCCCAACCCCTACCCACCCTCCCTACCTTCTTTCATCCCTCCCCTCCTCCCTATACACACCCTCTTTTCCCTCCCTCTACCCTCCTCCTATCCTCGCTCCACCTCTCCACCCCCTCCACCCCTCCCCCTGCTCAGAGCATCACTCACGATCTCCCTCTGGCAGAGCCTCATCCTCTCCTTGTCCAGCTTGGTCCTGCCTCCCGTGGACGCCGCAGAGGACGCCCTGGCGATGCTCAGGTACTGGCCGCATCCCGAGACCATCTCCTCCAGCACCTCCTTCAGGCGGCGCTCGGCGCTTCCGTCCTCCTCCTCCATCAGGCCGGACACCTCGGACAGACCCTCCTCCTGCGGGCGGATTGGTGTTGTTATTATCATTACTATTATTATCATTATTATGATCATTATAATTATCGCTATTACTATCATTATATTATCGTTATTATTATGATTATCATAATTATGATGATGATTATTATTATCACTATTATTATTATCATCCTCATAATAATTATCCTCCTCATCCTCCTCACAATCATGGCCTAAATCATCACCACTATCATTATTATTATCACTATTACTATTATTATTATTATTATTTATATTGCTATTATTATCATGGTTGCTATGATCTAATATCATCATCACTGTTATCATTTTGTTATCATCATCAGTATCATCATCAAGATCATCATCATAATCATTACTAACATTACTACTCTTATTACCATCATTATTATTGTTGAATTATTATTATTAACATTATCATAATTATTACTATTACCTTTTTTATAATTATAATTACCACTATTGCTATCACTTCTATTGGTATTATTACTATAGTCTTCCTTATCAGATTTATCAATCTTATCCTCATCATTATCATCATCATCCTCATTATCCCAATTATCATTATCATCATCACCATATATCCCCCCTCTCCCTCCCTTCCCCCTTCTCCCCTTCCCCTCCCCCCTCCTTCCCCCTTCCCCTACCAGCTTGATCGCGATGCCCGCTATGGCGTTGGAGTTGTAGAGTCTCCTGCGGTGGTCTTGGAAGAAGGAGCGGATGTAGAGGCAGGGCTTGTCGTCCCAGAAGGGCAGGAAGTAGTAGATCTTGTCGTTGGTCATGGGCTTCATGGGCGGCGTCGTCGAGTGCCACATGGACGCCTCGCCCACGACTGATTCGGGGCCTGTGGGGGTGGGGTGGTGGTGGTGGGGGGGGGGGGGTGATGGAGGAGGTGGTAGAGGGAGAGGTGGAGGGAAGCAGTGTAGGAGGGTGGAGGGCGAAGATGAGGATGAGGATGATGGTGATGATGATGATGAGGAGGAGATGAAGAAGTAGAAAAAGAAGAAGGAGGAGGAGAAGGACAGAAGGAAAGGCATAAGGAGGATAGAGGGGTAAATGATCAAAGGCGAAAGGTAGATGAGGAGGAGGGGGCAGGAGAAGAGAGAAGGTGAAACAAAAAGGGGGAAGAAGAACAGGCAGCGAGGATGGGGAAAAGGAGCAAAGGGAAGGAGGGGGAAGAAGAGAACATGGAAGTATAAGAATGTATTATTCTGGAGGCGACTGAATTGCTCTCCTGGTCTCTCTCATCAAACATTTCATTTTATTGATTTTTCTACTATCTCTGTTTCTATTTGTCTCTGTATATCTCTTTCTTTTCTCTCTCTTTCTCTCTCGCTTCATCTCTCTCTCTCTCTCTCTCTCTCTCTCTCTCTCTCTCTCTCTCTCTCTCTCTCTCTCTCTCTCTCTCTCTCTCTCTCTCTCTCTCTTTCCCTCTTTCTCTCTCTTTCCCTCTTTCTCTCTCTTTCCCTCTTTCTCTCTCTCTCCCTCTTTCTCTCTCTCTCCCTCCTTCTCTCTCTCTCCCTCTTTCTCTCTCTCTCCTCTTTCTCTCTCTCTCCCTCTTTCTCTCTCTCTCCCTCTTTCTCTCTCTCTCCTCTCTCTCTCTCCCTCTTTCTCTCTCTCTCCCTCTTTCTCTCTCTCTCCTCTTTCTCTCTCTCTCCCTCTTTCTCTCTCTTTCCCTCTTTCTCTCTTTCTCTCTCCCCTTCTCTTTAATTGTTGTCCTTACCCGATTCTCCGTCGCTCTCCTCTTCGCTGGAAGGTCTCGTGGTCGAGCAGCCGTCCAGGGAATTGCCCGCATTGCCCAGCGACAGTTCGAAGGAGAGCGGTTTGTCGCACACTTTACGATCAATCATAGTCGCCTCTTGCACCGAAGCGAACATCAGGAACTCCTCCATTTTACCGTAGTTACTCTTCGAAAGAAAATTAGAAAATGGGTATCGAGAAAAATGAGTATCGACAGAAAATGGGAATTATTATTCTTATTTGTCTGGAAGAAAATTATCTTAAATCTGATGCTTGATGTCTATAGTTAGAAAAAAGAGCAAAGATTAATAGTTCTCTTAGCGTGCCCAGAATACAAAACAAACACACACACACACACACACACACACACACACACACACACACACACACACACACACACACACACTCACACACACACACACACACATACACACACACACATATACACACATACACACACACGTACGCGCGCACAATTCTTAATGCTCTATCTTTCCTGAGCCTAACGCATTTGTTAAGAAGATGAGGAAGTAGGAAAAGAAGATCAAGAATAGGAAGAGAAAAAGGAAGAGAAGAATATAAGAAACAAAATAAAGGAAAATCGAAAACAATTATATTTGATAATTTATCTATATTCTCTATTATTTTCTCGTGTCTCTCTCTGCTAATAATGCCGCCAAGGATATTATATTCCTTAAATTTAAACTTCTGATTAAAAACGAAAATAAAAAATCCCATTATTATATTTAAAGAAAATATATCAATCTTTCACGGAAGGTTTTTCTTAAAGATGAAGTAATTAAGTGAAAATTTTAACATCCCCGAGTTCTGTTGTTTATAATGAACGCTAAATTTCATTATGATTCGTGCTAGGCGTTCCTCCTTGCTTAAGTGGGAGGAAAAATGGACTTCCTTTGCTCGAAAAATATATAATTGGATCTTAGAGGAATATACACGCACGTACATCGAAGTAATTACACTCACACACACATATCATATGCACACACTCTTTCATACATGCGTTCTATTCTCTCTCTCTCTCTCTCTCTCTCTCTCTCTCTCTCTCTCTCTCTCCTTTTTCTCTCTCTTCCTCTGCCTTTTCTTCTCTCTCTCTGTCTCTCTTATTCTCTCCCTCTCCTTCTCTCTCCCTCCCTCTCTCTCTAACACATACACACACACACACACACACACACACACACACACACACACACACACACATACACCCCTCTCCCTCCCCCCCCCCCCCCCCCCTCCTCACCTCCTGAATGGGCAGCGTGTTCTCGACCTCGACCTCCGACGGCGCGACGTCCAGCTGGTCCGTGATCTGGCAGCGCACGGAGATGAGGACGCGCCCCCGGTACGCGATGCCCTCCCCCAGGCCGGCATTGAGGGCGGAGTTCTCGTCCATGACGGAGCCGTCGCGGGTGGAGCCGTACATGTACACGTAGGCGGGGCCGAAGGTCGGGAGGAAGCCTGGTGGGGGAGGGGGGAGAGAGAGAAGGGGGGAGAGGGGGGGTTAGAATGGAGGGACATGGAGTGGACATGAAGTAAAAAAAAAGATAGGTAGATAGATATTTATATGTGTTTGTGTGTATGTATGTATGTGTGTATGTATGTGTGTATGCGTGTATGTATGTATGTATGTATGTATGTATGTATGTATGTATGTATGTATGTATGTGTGTATGTATGCATGTATGTATGTATGCGTGTATGTGTGTATATATGTATATGTATGTGTGTATGTATGTGTGCTATCCTTACTTTGCACAAAAAACGGCATTTGATGCATTAGGATTCTCTGCTTCCTCAAGATTTGCAATGTGTGTATGTATCTGTGTATGTATGTATGTATTTATGTGTATGTATTTATGCGTGTATTTGCCTATCTGTCTGTCTATTTGTTTGCCTTTCTGTCTGCCTATCTATACATCTATCTGTTATATACTTATTTTTCGGTCTGTCTCTCTATCTATCCTTTTATCTGTCTATATCTCTCTATCTCTTTATCTGCCTTTATCTCTCAATCTATCTATATACACATATATAATGATATATAGAATCCTGTAAAAAAAATAATAGTTGCTGATATATCAATAAAGTGAATATTTTTTTTTTATCCAGTTTCATCATCGAAACTAAACTGTAAAAAAAATATATAACTCATTTCTTCATTATCAAAAAGCGGAATAAAAAATCTAATCGTCATCAGAAAATCATAAGCGGCGGAAAAATGTTCCAGAAAAGAATCACAAGGAAACTATCCAAGACCATTTCCAAGACTATTCAATCCTTTATTGCAGTTGCACAGGCCACAACAGAAATTGCAATAATGGTAACAGAGGAAGGAATACGGAAGTTGCTAATATAAATAACAATCAAGATATAAATAAGAAAAAACATATATATACATAAATGAAAATATACATGAAAATATTATGCATCTATAAAATATATGAATTCGTTCTTGATACAGCAACATCAAAAATGCTATCCTGACTTTGCACAAAAAACGGCATTTGATGCATTAGGATTCTCTGCTTCCTCAAGATTTGCAATGAATAAACAAACAAATAAACAAGGAAATTCAAGACACGATGCATTGCAAGACCCAAAAATAAGATACTTATTCTACCATCAGAATGAAGACCTGGAAATATGAAGAACATGTATAAAGGTTCGAAATGTGTGTATCATGTATCAGATCCTTTTTAAAAAGGAATTGAATCCCTCTAAGCCAAATTTCCTTCTCTCTCTCTCTTTCATTTATAATATAATATCATCTTTTAAATATCCTTGCTT